GCCGCCCATGAGTAGCCGTGACTTTCCTTTTCATTCTGTGCCTGCTGCTGTCGAGCAGCCCCTTCAGCCCTGGCCTTTTTCAGTGCATCAGCTGTGTGAAGAGGCTCTGTCAGCCTACCTGCATCCAGCTACCTCCGCGGTGCTGCAGCAGCATGTGCCGTTCCTCCCCCTCCTTCCCCCCACCCGTGCCCTCGTCTATACCGATGGCACTGGAGGAGCCGATGGATCTGACATATCGTTTGTTCCTGCGTCGGCTGCGGTGATTATCTATGAGTACTTTGATGGTTCCAGGGCCCTTCGAGGATATATATCTGATCTGGTCCCAGAAGATGTGATGGATCTCTTCCCGTCTTCCTACCACTCTGACACTGCTGAGATTCTTGCTGCTGCATGGGCCTTGGCATGGATTGCCCAGGCGAACCTGGGGACAGTACCAGTTGTGCTCAGACTCGACTCTATGCGTACGCTCGGAGTTTTGATGGGCACCCAAACCTTCGAGGTCTCCAACTCTGGTTTGATGTTTCTTCGGTCCCTGGTCCAGTTTCTGGCTGCTACCTGTACCATCCAGGGACAACATGTGCATAGCCACCAAGGGGAAGGATATAACGAGCTCGCAGATACTCTGGCGCGTCTCACAGGTATGGGACTGCTGCCAGGCATGGAGTATATGCCCTTTGCATCTCTGCTCTTTGACTCCTCTGCTCTGGCTTGGGCTTGGATGTATTCCGACCGCTCCGCGGACCTTCCGAACATCATAGGTACTAACACATTGCGGGTCGGTGAGGTGCTCTCGGAGGGCTTCCAGGTCCAGGAGGTTATCGGGGTCCAGACCATCCTTGATGAGGCCCCCTCGAACAAGATTGAGCAATGCAAGTTTGGGGTGGCTAACGTCTTAACGCTCCAAGGCAACAGCAAGTATAAAGGGTCCCAGCGGAGAGCCCCCCAAGGGGCTCGTCTCTTGGAGGCTATCGGACTGAATGCCCCTGGGAGAATCACGGCCCTTGCTCGTCAGTTTTCTGCTGCTAAATATCACCTCCTAGGGGTCCTGGAGACGCGATTACAGACGGCTTTGCCTAAGAGGGTCGGGGACTACATGATGTACTACTCCAAGTGTGCTGAGAATGGCGCTGATGGAGTAGCTATCTGGATCAACTGTGAGTTACCTGTGAAAGGTATCAAGCCTGGCCGACATCACGTTGCCCAGCTTTATGCTGATACGAGTCGGCTCCTATTGCGTTTTCATGTGCCTGGCCTGCATCTATTGCTTGTTGCTGCTCACGCCCCGCACTGTGCTCGCAAGGATGTTTGCTCAGTTGAGAAGTGGTGGATTGATGCGCAGAGGTTAGTGAGCCAGTACCTAGTACCAGGAGTGCAGCCTGTATTCATGTTGGACGCTAATGCGGAAGTTGGCTCCCGCTGCTCGGCACAGATTGGGGATGTAGAGGCTGTGGAGGAGATTTCTCGGGTAAGTGTATGCGAAGCTTGTGCCATAGGTTTCAAGTGGTTGCTCCCTCTACCTTCCTGCCTGCCCCGATCGACGACACACACAACACACATGTACACACTGATGGTAAGACCTGTAAGAGGTTGGACTATGTATTACTTCCTCAAGAATGGTTTTCGCTAGTGTCGTGTGCAAGAGTGGATCGAGAGGTCGACCTCGCCAACGCTGTGGAGGACCACAGCCCTACCTTTGTTGAAGTTGGTGTTCCGTCTGGCTCTCTTGCGCAGTCTCAGTGCAGGTGGCCGCTGCTGCGAGTTCAGCCAGAGCGTCTCCGTGATCCAGCGATCCGAGAGGCATTTGCTCGGCATGCGGCTCAGTTTCAAGCGCCTGACTGGAACGAATCAGCGACAGCGCACTGTGCACGCGTGGATGCCCACCTCGTTGCCTTTGCCAAGGAACACCTGATCCCCGAGGACCCCCACCGGCAGGACTGGGTCAGTGAAAGGACCCTTGAACTCATAGAGTTGCGTAAGTATCTTCGTGCCCTTCACCGTGGTTGGCAACGAAAGGCTCCAAAGGTCCTCCTGCAGGTTGTATTCCAAACATGGGCTTCTATGGGACATCTTGGGCACATGGGGATATGGGGGCGTCTTAGGATCCGCAGTGGGTCCAACCAGGTCAATGGTTTACGATTCCGTCAGCAACTCTGGAGGCTCTTAGAGGACTACCATGAACATCTGCAGGTGCTTCAAAGTGCTGCCAGGTGCCACCTACCTGAAGGTCAGCGCTTTGCGAGGATACCTGACTGGGAATATCTGATGACAATGTGTATTTCTCTCGCTCGCCTCCCCTCGGTCAACAGTGATTCACCGTGTCCTCGGGAGCAGCTGAGCTTGTATAGACGCTGGTGTGGGCTGATGAAGGCCATGTCTAGCAACATTACCTTTCTGACTTCGCGGCTCATTAGCTGGTCGTGTGACATGGACAGGGCCGACAAGATGGAGCAGGTGTCTAGGGATGTCTCTAGCTCGTTTCTTCAGAAGGAGTTCAGGAAGGCGTTCGGGCAGCTTAGATCCTTGGGTATAGGTTCTACGAAGAAGAGGCCCGCTAGTCAGTCAGCTCAGGTACTCTTGAAGGATGAGACGCCAGCCCTGACGCCCACGGCCTGCCGTGAGCGATGGCTGGAACACTTTGCTGAACAGGAGCTTGGCTTTCGGATACCCGCCCACGATCTGCTGCAGTTCGTAGGAGAATCACGTGCGCCGCTTGCTTCGCTGGACTTGTCTGCTGCACAGAGTTTACCGACACTTGCCATGTTTGAACAGCAGATGCTGAAGACCTCCAGCGCCTGTGCCAACGGTCTTGATTGTGCCCCAGGGGCTCTACTCAAAAAGTGTGCCAAGGAATGTGCACGACTCTACTTCCCCCTAGTGATGAAGTACATGTTGTGTCTACATGAGCCTCTACAATGGAAAAGCTCGAGGCTAGCAGACTTGTACAAGGGCCGGGGTGCGCCTAACAAGTGTGTCTCCAGCAGGTCTGTGGCCATAGGTCCGCAGGTAGGCAAGCGTGCTCATGCCCTTGTTGCTGGACGTCTTCAGCCTTTTCTAGATGATTTTGCCCCTGAGTCACAGTGTGGAGGTATCAGAGGACGTGGCACGGACTTTGCGGTGCACATGGTTCGATTAATGCAGGAGGACTCGCGTATCCGATCGGAGTCGATGTCGACGCTTTTCGTGGACCTGGAGGCCGCTTTCCATCATGCTGTTCGTGAAATTCTCATTCGATTCGAGGGGGAGGATACGATCTCTGATGAGCGTATTGCTCAGCTGTTGCATGCCTCTGGTCTCCCGCCATCTTCCATGGACCTGCTGGCTGCCGAACTTGCACGGCCACCGTTGTTTGAGGAGCTGGGGGTTCCTGCCCATTTGCAGCGTGTTCTCTCTGAGACGTTAACGGGCACCTGGGCTACTACCCAAGGGTCAGGCTCTGTCGCGATCATGGCCACTGGCACCAGGCCAGGCAATACTCTAGCTGCGCAACTCTTCCTCTTCATCGTGTCCAGGAGTATTCGGCGCACCCAGGAGTTGATCCAGAGTGAAGGGCTACACAAGGAGTTTAACGTGCCGTCTACCAGGACTCTCGACCCCCTCGCTCAATGTGATGCCCAGGTTTCAGCTAGCGATGTAGAGTACAGCGACGACAGCCTGTTCAATGCTTGGGGGCCTGCATGTGCTATTATTGCTCGCACTCGTGCCCTTATGGCTATTGTTGCTGACTCCTTCACCCCGCTGGGCCTCAAGCTTAACGTGGGGCCCACTAAGAGCGCCCTCGTGGTCACCTTCAGAGGCCCTGGGTCTGTTACGGCCCGAAAGCAGTTCTGGATCGAGGAGGAGGGTAAGGTTTCTATCCCGCCTACTGGAACGTTTCCCAAGGGGCTTACTCTGGAAGCGGTACACACGTACAAGCATCTGGGAAGATGATTTCTGACAAGCAGGACCTGGCCCCGGAGCTGGCCCACCGTGTGTCGTCTACGACGTCGTCGCTTCAGGCCCTTCGGCAGGTGGTCTTTCGCAACCAGCAGTTGTCTCGGCAGCATAAGTCACAGCTTGCAGATGTGCTGATCATGTCGGGCCGGCTGTACAATGCTGCAACATGGCCACAACCGGCGACGGCACAGTTCAATCGGTACCGTGCTGGTATCGTGCGGATTTATCGGTCTGCTATTGGGAGGCCAGCATATGATCAGGAGGCTGTTCCCGATACGGACGTGCTTGCTACGGTAATGAGATGTGATGTGGATATTCTACTAAGATGGCATCGTCTCCGTTATCTCAGTCGGCTCTATAAGTATGTTCCTAGGGCTCTCTTTGGGCTTATTAGGGCCACTGCGGAACCCAAGCACTCCTGGTTCAACCTTGTCTTGGATGATTTGAGGTGGCTACGTGCTCGGGTTTCCAGGCTGCGTGAATTTCCTAGTCCGTTCTCGGAGTTCGGAGCTTGGGAGAAGGAGATTCTTGGGCGTGGACAGCGCTGGGCTAACCTGGTTCGATCTGGGGTGGAGGCACACATCCGTTGGGCTTGCCGCATTGAGGGCGCTCGAGCTCGCACGCAGATATTTTTTCAGCATGCTGCGCGTATTGGTGTGCCACCAGATCTATCTCTGACGCCGGCACCTGTGCCTGCTGTGCATCGCTGCCCTTTCTGTGAGTTCGAGTCGGCCAAGTGTGCTGCGGTGAATATGCATATTGCTCGGCTTCATTACCAGCAGCGCTCGGTCGCTGCCAGATATGTTCACGGCCCTACTTGTTCTGTCTGTCTTGTTCGGTTCAGCACGGTTGAGCTTTGTATTGACCACCTTGCGTATGGGAACCCGAATTGCTACATCACGGTCCTCTCCAATATGGTCCCTGAGGCTCCTGAGGTTCTGGAGATGGTTCGGGCCCAGGAGGCCTCTGACAGGAAAGCTGCTCGGAAAAAAGGGGCTATGAGAAGGGAGGCCTGGCTTCCTGCTTATCGTGTTCCTGGGCCTCGTAATGTTCCGCAGCTTTCGTTTTTACCGTATCGGGATGCCTGGGAAGTTATCCGCTCCATGGCCTACCAGTTTGAAGATGTTCCTGAGCCCCTCTTTGAGACTCGTGAAATGGACCCCCGATATGAGGCCCTGCCAGAAGATGAACATCAGTTTGAACCGCTTGCGTATGCTGGTCCTTCTGCCGAGCATTGTCCTCGGCCGCTGCAGTATGCTGTACTTGCTTTTCTTCACCTGTTCTCAGGAGCTAGACGTGCTGGAGATGTTCAGGACGAGCTTGAGAGAGTTTTGGTTTCGGGCCCGGTGACTATCATCATTATTTCGTGTGATGTGGCCTGTGACGCTGTGAATGGGGACTTGACCAGGGCCGACATTGTTTCAAAATGGGATCAGCTTTTGAGAACAGGTCGGGCCATAGGTTTGATTGGCGGTCCTCCCTGCGAAAGTGGTCAGCAGCGAGGTGGCAGGAGCTCAGAGCTGCAGACCGTTATCGTCCACCTGCTCCCCTCCGTACTCTCAAACATCGTTGGGGTAGACCTGATGTCAGTCTCCGTCAGCACCAACAGCTCTCCATCGGCTCTCAGCTCTTGCTCAGCCAGCACCAGTTGATGCTGACTTGCCTGGAGGTAGGAGCTTGTGCACTGAAAGAGCACCCTGAGGTTGCTCACTGGGAAGAAAGGGCACCCAGTTCGTGGCAGTCTGCCACGTCGTGTGCTCTGAGTGCTGCTCCCCCCTCTCGGACGGTCTCATTTGACCAATGTGTTTTCGGCCAAGTGAGCAAGGCCCCTACGACGTTTCTGTGTATTCGGTTGAGTTCCCTCGTGGAGGACATTTTGAGTCAAGGAAAAGGGGGAAGGTGCCCACATCCGAAGAAGAACCACACCACCCTCCTCGGCATTGACCCGACCACAGGAAAATGGCGTACGGCTCCCAAGAAAAGGTACCCTCAGGACCTATGTGCTGCCATGGCCAGGGCTGTCGCCCAATATGTGGAAGAGGCTTTCAATTTATGTGATCCCGATGATCTAGATTCTAGTGAATTACCTGACGAGCTGAGTGCCTTCTTTCAGGCCCTTGATTTATATGCTGCAGACACCGCGGAGGGACAGGCTGATATAGCTCTTGATTTTGCTGGTTTCAGATTGAAGGGGCCCCGGGACACCCGTTTCGACCGCCCCCTGGAGGGTGTTGCCCCTCCCCCACTGGCGAGACCTCTGCAGGCTCCTGTGGAGCCTGGACCCTGGCCTGTGGAGGAAGAGGATCCGTGGGCGGAGGAAGGCATGCTCCAATCTCGTGAGGCGGCTGGTGTCCCGTGGGATCCCCAACCCCCTCCTCCTCCTCCTCCTCCCCCCCCCCCGCCCGTGTAGAGCTCAGCGACGAGCTCAGACGCCAGATCCAGGCTCGGCGGGAACAAGCACGCTTCCGACATGCTGTTCGGCGCTCGCTTCCAGAAGGAGGCCTCTTCTCTTCTGTGAATAGGTGTGGCGCGGTGGGATAGGGGACCCACCTTCTTTTTTGTTGATGTATTGTGTCTCTCTTGCATAGTGCTTGATTGCCATTATATCTGTGGGGTAGGCTGACCATGAGCCTCAGAGAGTCAGAGTCAGAGTCAGAGAGTCTCCTCCTCTTCCTCCTCCTCCTCCTCCTCCTCCTCCTCCTCCTCCTCCTATTCCCTTTTCAATATTCTCTTCACTATCTTCCGCACGTGTTCCCCGAAAGGTTTCAACGACAGCTGGGGGAACACATGTTCCGATAGCTCTAGCCAAATGTTCTGCCACATACTCTTCTGACAGAAGGCACGGTGCCGCGGGGATTCGCCGAAGGCGTCTTCGATACAACATATATAGATATACATATATATATATATATATATTCCACAACTAGCATACACCAACTTACGCTCCAAGCGCATACACCTATGCCACGCACCAATGGAATATGCATACAAACAAACATGTTCATACATCACATAAATAACACACGCGGGGTGTAAGCTGACAATGCAAATACACCACTACCATTCATCAGTTGCATACACCAATAAGGCATAACACAGACAGACAAGCAAGACACCCACACAACAAGTGCGCGAATCGCAACCGCAAAAAGGTCACACATCACTGCCGTGCATCACTGATCCGCCACCGTGCCCTTGAAGCACGAATCGGAAGGCACTCGAGCCCCTGGTTGCACCCCCCCCTGAGAGCCTCGGTCGTCAATCCTGGCGTCACGTGGCCAGCCGCCTCCAGCTTGCACCACGCATGACGCAACTCGGGGTCCAGCTACGAGGAGGAGGAGGAGGAGGAGGAGGAGGAGGAGGAGGAGGAGGAGGAGGGGGAGGAGGAGGAGGAGGAGGAGGAGGAGGAGGAGGAGGAGGAGGAGGAGGAGGAGGAGGGGTAGTGGCAAATCGGCTGGGGCGCGTCGCGTGGCCGGCCCCTGGGGGCACGTCGCGTGTGGCCCTTTTTTGGAGGCCCGGGGCGTCGTGGCTCCGAGAGGGCCCCCAGAGGCCCTCGAGGCGCGCCCCGAGAGAGCCTCCACAAGAGGGCCCCGAGAGACCAAACTCACTGCTTTCCTCAAAGTTGTGAAGAGGCTCCACCGCTCTAAGACGGCCCCAGGGGACCCCCCAAGGGCCCCCGGACGGCTTCAAGACAGCACCAGAGGCGCCCAGGACGGCCAAAGGACAGCCCCAAGAAGGGCCCAAGAAGTCTTCCGCCCAAGAATCCCCCAGTATGCTCCAAGGAGGCCCCAAAAGGCCCCCAAGAGGGCCCTGAAGACAGCACAGGAGGGTCCAAAGAAAGCCCCAAGAAAGCTCCAAGAGGGGCCCGAGAGAGGGAATAGGAACCGCCAAGTCAAGCTTTCAGCCCCATAGGCCCCCAGGAGGCCCCAAGCGGCGCCTAGGAAGCCCCAACCAAGAGCCCCCAAGAGGCCCCAAAGAGGCCCTAAGAGGCCACAAAACGGCCCCCCAAGAGACGTCCAAACTGCCTCCAAGGGACCCCCGAGGGGCCTCCCACGCGATCCCAACGAACATCCAATAGGCTTCATACCCAGCACCCAGGCACGGTGGCGGGATGGGCCGAAGGCCATTCGATCCGCCGCCCCCTGCTTGCAGGGGTGCACGGCGTGCTGGACGAGCTGGTTTTGGTTTTGGTTCTTTTTCTAAAAGAACTCCCCAGTGGGCTTCGGCCCGTCCCGCCGGCCACCCGCAAATTTCCGAAAATCCGTCTGTCAATGCCCAAAAACGGCCGTTTCGCTCGGGACATCCTCAAAAAATCGCGAAGATGGCCCAAGATGGCCTCCAAGTCCGCCCGAGATGGTCCAAGACGGCCTCCAAAACGGCCCAAGAGAGTCCAAGACGGCCCAAGACGGCCCAAGAGGCCCCCCAGAGGCCTCCCAGACGGCCCAAGAGGCCTCCAAGAGGTCCTCCAGGAGAGTCCGAAGAGGCCAAAATCATTGATTTTCCATTGGTTTTTGAAGGATTTTGGCATTTGCGCCTTTTCGGCTCTCCGACGGCTCAAGACGGCCCAAGAAGCCCCCAAGATCGCCCAAGAGGCCCCCAAGAGAGCCCCATGATGGCCCAAGTGGCCTCCAAGATGGCCCCTCGAGGGCCCCAAGAGGGCCCAAGAGGCCTCCAACACGCCCAAGATGGCCTCCAAGACGCCCAAGATGGCCTCCAAGACGGCCCTGGAGCCCAAGCGGGCCCCAAGTCGGCCCATAGAGGCCCCCCAAACGGCTTCCGACGGCTTCAGACGTGCCAGGAACCCACCAAGATGGCCGAAGTTGGCTCGAAGCTGGCCCGAGACGGCCCAAAAAGCCCCAAAGATCGCCCAAAGCTTGCCCAAGAGGCCTCCAAGACGGCCAAGATGACCTTCAAGATGCCCACGTGTTCCCCGAAGGCTTTCCAAACCGATTCGGGGAACACGTGGTCCGATAGCTTGGCAGGTCTGGCCTCAACGTTCGGCCACATAGGCGCTTCCAAAAAGGCAGGGGGCGGCGGTGATTCGCCGTAGGCGTCTTCGATTAACAACTCCTCCCTGTCTCATTCTCACGCGCGTCGGTACGGCGGGCTGGACGTTTCGCCTAAATTTGCTCACAGTTCATGATCGTGGAACTTGGAATTTGCAACTGTTTCAGAGACGAAGGGCGGGCCACTTTCACAACGCGGCATTCGCCATAGCGCAGCGCACATTCGTATCAAAAGTTAGTAACAGCTACAAAAATCCAGGGCGGTTCCTCTTAGAAAAGTGGTCTCGCCGTAGCGCCGCTCACATTCGTCTTCAAAATTTCGAACGGTTTCAGAGAATCGACGCGACCACGTTGATTCGCGGCGTTGAAATTCCAAGAATGGTGCTTTGGCACGGACGCACATTCTCAGGCGGTTGCCTTTCAACGGGGCATTCCCACAGTGAACATCGATTATCCGGGGGACCTATGGAGATAGAAGTTAGAGGGAGGGCTTTCTGCAACATCGTTGATGCGTCTTGGGTTTGCACTGGTTCACATCATCCTCGCCCTCATTCTCCTCCTGCCCTCTCCCCTCGCATCCCCTTCGCCTCGTGCAAGCAACACCATACAACACCACGAAACAACTGGTCAATCGTAACAACGCGGCCCTCGAATCCGCGCAGAACGGAATCCATAACATATGCACTACGTAAAGCTGGCAAGCCGCGTGGAATTGTCCTCTACTCTGGGGGGCAACGAAACGGCGCAAGCCACTTGATTGAGGAGCTTAGTACTGGGAACCTAGGGACCCGACCACCCACCGAAGTCAGCGATCTGCTTTCGCGTCCCGCTGCCGCCTGTTACTCACAAGACTCCGCGAGTATCTCACCAAAGCAAGACTTGATCGGGGAACAAGAATGAACACGTTGAATGCTACCACGCACTAGGTAACGGAACGGAAACAACACGGAATGACTTGTTCACAGAACCGGGACGACAACGGAGGCAGGATCTGACAAAACAAGACGCTGGTGTTGGACACAGCAGGGACCCCCCTGAACGGTTCCAGGAACGTTACCCACGGAGCTGGAGGACGAGGCGGGTGAGCAAGGAGGACGAGACGCAGATGATGGGGCACGGGGGACGGCGGGGAGACGAGAGGCGACAGAAGGACACGCACGAGACAGGAGCCCAAGGCGTCCTGGGGCCAAGAGGGCCCCAAGAGGCCTTCGAGGCGCGCCAAGAGAGCCCCAGCATGAGGAAGGGCACCGTCGTCAACGCCACTATCATCATCATCAGCGTCATCATCAGCGTCATCATCAGCATCATCATTATTAATACTAAAATTGTCATTATCATCGTCGTCATCATCAGCATCATCAGCATGACCACCACTACCATCCCCATCCCCATCACCATCGCCATCACCATGATTATCAGCAGCGCACCATCATGACAATCATACTCAGCATCATCATCAACATCAGCATCAACATCAACATCGCCAACACCACCACCAGCATCATCCGCATCATCATCATCATCATCATCATCATCATCATCATCATCATCAGCATCATCATCATCATCATCATCATCATCAGCATTATGATCAGATTCATCTTCATCATCATCATCAGAAGCATCATCATTATCATCATCATCATCATCATCATCATCATCATCATCATCATCATCAGGAGCAGCAGCATCATCTAAATCATAATCATAATCAACGCCAGCACAAGCACCATCACCATACCCATCGCGATCCTAATCCTCCTCCATTCCAAAGGCTTGGTGGACGCTTCCAACCAGCGACTACCCACGTCTGCTCGGAAACCATCCAGAAGGCACGGGTAAGGGCCCTGATGCCAGGACCCAAACGCACAGAAAGCAGGGCTGCGCAGCAGCTGGGGAGGGACCGCATAATGACAGCGGAGGGAAGGGAAGGAAGCGAGGGAGTGGGGAGGATCGATTTCCCCCTCCCCCCACCCCATCCCCAAACGCTGGGAGAACACGGCAGCCTCAAACGTTCCTCTGGCCTTCAAGCCGCAGCTCCTGACGTGGAAACAAGCCTCTGCAGAATCTGCTGGCCGATGGGGGGAATGAGAACAGGAGAACAGAGTGGGGAGGAGAGCAGGGAGGAGGAGAGCAGGGAAACATCGACGGGTGAGGGAGAGGGAGAAGAGAGAAACAGGAAAAGAAGGATAATGCCAATTGCCACCCGTCGTTGCGCTCCTTCAGCTTGCCCATCATCTCGTCCTTGTCTTTCTCGAACTGCTGCTGGGCACGGGTCTCCAGCATCGCCTCGCCAGAGGGCGCCCGTTCCGAATGCAGAGACCCTGGAGACATTGACGCCGACCTCTCTTGGGGGATGTGCTCCCACTCACCCAGACATCAGACGCTGGGGCAATGTTTGGCAACGTGGACACCCCGAGGCTTGGAACCCAGCCTAGTGACCAGTGTTCCATCCTGCACTTTGTTTCTTTACGGCCGCGGGGCCTGGCAAGAGGATTCCCCGAATGCCGACCTCCCGCACCTCGTGCCCCAACTGCCTCCTGCTATCCCTCCTGCTGCTCCTCCTCATCATCCTCCTCGTCCTCGTCCTCGTCCTCGTCCTCCTCTCCTCCTCCTCCTCCTCCTCCTCCTCGTCCTCCCTCCTCCTCCCCCTCCCCCTCCCCTTCCCCCTCCCCCTCCCTCTCCTCCTCCTCATCCTCCTCCTCATCATCCTCTTCCTCATCCTCTTCCTCCTCCTCCATTCCTTTTCCTTTCAAAAAACTTCTCCCTGTCGCACCAGGGGGCAGGTCGATGGGATTGGCCGGGCGTTTCGCATGAGACTCCCTCTCTCACCGCTCATGACCCTGAAACGTAAGCATTGGTAACAGCTCCACAGATGGAGAGCGGGTCGTTTTCAAAATGTGGCTCTCGCCTGAAAACAGTGCACATTTCTTTTAAACATTTGCAGGAGTTCTACGGATTGAGAGCGGCTCGTTTTCAAAATAAGGCACTCGCCTTAGCGCCGCGCACATTCGTTTAAACATTGGCAATAGTTCAACGGATTGAGAGCGGTTCGTTTTCAACATGTAGCTCCCGCCTGAGCGCCGCGCACATCCGATTGCAAGCGCTCCACGGATTCAGGGCGGTTCGTTTTCAACATGTGGCTTTCGCCTTAGGGCCACGGACATCACCAAAACAGCAAGCGTGCCCCGAAATAGTATTATGGAAGGCTTCAGGACCATTAGGGTGCAACAATTATATTGATTTGTGGTGTTGTCCCAAGAACGGCGTTCTGGCACGACTCAGGATCGTCAAGACGCGACAGTCAGGTTGATCCGTGGCGTTGGAGTCCCGAGAATCATGTGTTGGCGTGCTGCAGGGTCTTCAAACGGTTGCCTTCCAACGAGGCAGTTCCCTCAGTGGAAATGAACCCTTGTAGGTGCCTATGATGGAGCCTGTAGGGAGGATTCAATCCATCATCGTTGATGACTTTTGGGTTTACATTGGTCCTCCTCCTTCTCCTCCTCCTCCTCCTCCTGACGCCTGCCTCCACTATCAACAATAGGCCTCCCCCTCTTCCCCCCCATTTCTCCGTCTCCTACATCCATCTTCTCCTCCGCCTCCGTATCCTCCGCTCCCTCCTCCGCCTTCGCTTCCCTCCTCCTCCGCCTCTTCCACTCCTCCGCCTCCTCCACCACCTCCGCCTCCCTCTACCGCCCCCTCCGCATCCGCCCCCTGCGCCTCCTCCGCCTCCCCTATCCCTTCCACCTTCTCGGCACCACGACCACGCCTCCCCCTCCTCCCTCGCCTCCCTCCTCCCCCCTCACTATCCTCCTCTGCCTCCGCCGTCTTTGCCTCGCTTTTGCCCCCCTCCGTCTGTGCACAAACGTGGTGTTCCTCCAGCCACCTCGCAACCACCCCGGATTGGCGCCTGCCGCCTGTACTCGCGGGAGCGAAGGGAGGGGTCCAGCTCGATCGCCTTCTTGAGGTCCTCGAGGGAATCGTGCCTGAGCAGGGGGGCGGCTGGGGACGGCGGACGGCCCTGGGCTCCGGCATGCGCATCGTCCCCGTCCTCCTCCTCATCCCCTTCACTCGACCGTTCCCTCCTGCACTGGCTGCCTCCCTCTCTTTGCTCCTGCTCCTCCCCCTGCCTCCTCCGCCCCTCTCCGCCTCCTCCCCCGCGCCAGCCTCCTCCTCCTCCCCCTCCCGTCCTCCGCCCCTCCCTTCTCCTCCCAACTCCCCCTCCAGCGGGGCGGGCTCGAGTCGGGCGGCGAGGGACGGAGGGAGGAAGGAGGAGGAGGAGGAGGCGGAGGAGGAGGGGGAGGAAGAAGAGGAGGGAGGAGGAGGAGGGAGGATGGAGAAGGATAGAGGAGGATGGAGGAGGATGGAGGACTATGCACCGACCCCCTGGGCCCAGGAGTGGCCCGGCCGGGCTCGGCGAGCACGAGCGGATGGCCTCTATCCTCCACACAGAGCGCCTCGCTCGGCGGCGAGCGAGGGGGAGGAGAGAGAAGCGGCGGGCCTTCCCAGAAGGCTCGGAAGTCTCCAGGCCTTCTGATCAGTGTTCTAAGCTTTCCCCGACGTCAAAAAAAACAACTTCTCAGAGGGCGCGAGGACTTCTGAGAAGTCCCGCCGCCTTCTGAGAAGGCCTTCTCCTTCTCATTTCCCCCCTTCGCTCGCCGCCGACTGGTGGAGAAGCTCCGGAGCAGCCCTACGAACATGAGAATGCCAACGGCAACGCCAGAGCTCAAGGTAACTCCGAAAGCGCCCCAGAGCCTCAGAGAAGCACCGAGAGCGAGCCTCCGAGGACAGCCGAGAGCTTCCAGGTAGAAACCTCCGGGAATCTCCGAACACCTGCGAGAGCCCCCGAGGTTGTGAGGAAAAAGGGGAACCCTGGAGGCCTCGCGAGGCAGCTTGAGACCCAATGTTTACATCATATTAATGTTGGATGTGCGTCGGACTCACGTCGGGAATTACGTCGGACTCGCGGCGGAACATCGACGCGCGAACGTCGTCCCCTATCTGGCATATGACGGGGCGGACGTACGGCGTGAGCGAGAGGGATTTCGAGTTGTGGGGCGGTCCTGAGGAGGACGATTTGACGAGGGAGAGGACGTTCACGAGGAGGAAAAAGAGGAACAACCTCATACAACTATTACGTGCCGTGTGACGGGGCACTCCGAACGAGAACCTCAACGGGAGGCGAGGCGGGACGGCGACGCCCACAGCGGCGGCATGAACCCCCACGAGATGTCCTGGGGCGCGCTCTGGTGAGCGCCCGAAGCGGATCTGGCCGCGGCCACGGCGGTCGTGCACCACAAGCTCGTGTCGTGCCGACGTCCGGCGCTGGCTTCTGACACGGCGGGGATCGTTCAACCTTGAACGATCGGTCGTTTCCAAAATGATGGGCCTGTTTTCCACCACCACCACCACCACCATAAGTTGGAGGGGGAGGGGGTCCTCCTCCTCCTCCTCCTCCTCTTCCTCCTCCTCCTCTTCCTCCTCCTCCTCTTCCTCCTCCTCGTCCTCCACCTCCTTCCCCCCTCCAACTTATGGTGGTGGTGGTGGAAAACAAGCCAATCACAAAAGGTCAGGTCGTTCCACATTGACCGATTCTGTGTCGCCAGCAGCGTTGAACGTGAAACGCCAACGGCGGGCGGGGTCGCCACTGGTCGATACGACGCGAACGCACCGTAAGAATTTGCTTTCGTTTCACTTCCTTTACACCCTGCGAAATGCTTAAGAAATCATGGGTTAAGAAATTCATAATCTCAGAACTTGAATGAAAACCCAACATTTCGATTAAAATCTTAAGATTTACATTGAAACGTTAAGAATAATCGAGACTCTGGCCGAAAACTTAAGTTTTCTTAAGCATCGCCTAAGGTGTACACTTTCTCACCATTTCCGTTCCGCCTCCGTTCGAATACGCTCTCAACGTCATCCATGGGCCTAGCGCCATCAGAACACAACGGCCGCGAGGTCACGGGAGTGACCCGGAAGTGGCCTGGAAAAGGTATAGACTCGGTCAAACAAATATAACGTAGCAGGAAGGCTCCCATGAACATGGCGCCCCTGGAGACCCCCAAAATGGTGGTAGAAACGTCCAGACTCCTCTACAATCGGCGATTCAGTAGGGGGCCTCGGAAACGGCAGGGCATTTTCGGCCGCTTGCATCAAAATAAACAATCAACTCCCCCAAAAAGTGACAAAACAACTCCGGAATTGGAACTGGAGCCGGAACGGAACAACAAAACGGCGACGGAACCAGGAACAATTGACACAAGAACTGGCCAACAACTGCAACCATAACTGGCAAGAACAATACCCTAGGGCTTACTAAGGTCGAGCCATCGATCTCCGAGGTGGTGGGAAGCGGTTCGCTGAGGCCGAAGGCTGTAACAATGGAGGTCAACAGAAGAACAGCAACAATAATAAGTCAAAGGTCCGCGCGGTGCTCTTGGATCGGCACTTGACTCCCCTTACCTCGCGCGAGGAGCGAGCCAGGGGCGGCGCTGGAGACGTCACCAGGAGGGGGTCCAGCACCGACCCAAGAAATCCGCGCGGACCCTCGACAGTTCATGTTACGCTCAGCCCGCATAGAAAGGCTGGGCAATCTTCCCAAGACTACCCTTGCATCCTTGCCTCCTCGGCCCATCCTTGGCGGCTTTAGGTGGCCGCGACCCGCCCGTGCAGCTTCGAAATGGTCTTCCAAGACCCTTGCATCCTCATCGTGCGTCCTCATCATACGGGTCGACAGAACTTAGTGCATGTTTTTGGCCCGAAAGCCAGCCCATTCCAAAGCCTCGGCACCCCAGCACTGGCGGGAGCACCAGTGATGGGCGCCTCTCTGCACAGATCGGCACACGGCCAACTTTAATTGCAGCGCCTCGCCGCGTTATTGCCGACGGCGACGACGTTCAACAAAACCCTGACTACCTACCAGACCACCCAAACCCGCCCCGAAGACCAGAATTTCGGGTGGGAGGGGGCGGGTTTCATGTTTTTTTCAAATGTCCCCCGCCCCCCCCGACTGGAAATGGAGGGCAGATCGGGGCCTTCGGGTTGGGTTGGGGCGGGTTTTGTGGTCGGCGAAACCCAGATCCCTGCATGCCGACCCTCGAGGGTGGCATGGAGGAGGCGGACGAGGACGAGAGCGAGGAACGACGTCCACTGACGACTGACGACGGCGGCTCACGACGACGACGACGACGACGCGGACGGGGACAACGACGACGCGGATTCGCTGGCATGCAAGACAAGGGTACATAGCGAAGCTGGCGCTGGAACCCGGGGCCTTTCCCAAAGGACCAGCTCCTCACGCGTGAGCTGTTCCTTCACGGGTGCCCTGGGGTCCAGGGAGGGCCCTGCGAGAGCGCGACGACGGCGGCAGACCATTTTCACCCCTTCCCCGACGACATGATTTCCTCCAAGCGCGGCCCCTGAGGTCCCGACCCCGTCCGCGGGGCCCCGCATCCGTTGCCCGTGGCCCCCGCCCGGGCACGGCCGCGGGCCCCCCATGGAGGCCGAAGCTCGAAGAGACGCGCCCGGATTGAAGAGAGCAGGTCGTCGGAGAGCTGGGGACCCGTACTCCAGATTTCGTAAGAAAAGGGAGGGGGTCTGGACCCTCCAAGACAAGCCATTTCAGACCCCCCCCTGTGGGAGAACCCTCCAAAACATCGTCCCCAGAACCCCCCAGGCCCTCCAAGATAGCCTGGAAGAGACCCCCCCCGAAACGAGACCCCCCTCCCTTTATTACGAAATCTGGAGTATCCCTCGGAAGACCCGTAGTCTCCACCCACGGGCGAGGAGTTCGACCGCCCCCGCGGCGCCACTTCTCCAGCGCCTCGTACGCGGCGCTCCTGCGCGCCCACGCCTGCGGCGCGGATCGAAGACCGCAGAGCCAGGGCCTGGAAACGGCAGGGCAACGGTTTCACGGTTCCGTCGGGGGGGTTTTGCTGTCGGTCCTGGCCACGTTGTTTTCTGATTCCGACGCCGTTGATCCCGCTCCAACTTGCGGCTCCAATCCCAGATCAACTTGCTACACCCTGCGAAATGCTTTAGAAATCATGGGTTAAGAAATTCATAGTCTCAGAATCTGAATGAAAACCCAGAATGTCTATTCAAATCTTGGGGTTTACATTGAAACATTAAGAAATATCAAGACTCTGGCCGAAAACTTTGGATTTCTTAAGCATCGCCTAGAGTGTACCCGTTTCTGGGAGCCGTTTGGTAACCGTTGCCATGTTCCAGAGACGGGCCTTCTCAAAATGGCAACAGAGAAACTGGCCGTGCCGTTTCGGGGGCCCACTGATTGAAGTTAGGTCGGGCATGTCCTCCTACAGACGGAGAAAGAACACGAAAATTAGTTCCCAGAATATGTTCTCAATATTCTTGGATATTCCTCCAGTATAGCTAGGGGAACAAACAATGTCATAAACATAATACCTCGGAGGTCCGCGCGGATTTCTCGGATCAGCACTGGACCCCCCTCCCTGGCACGCGGAGCGCGCCAGGAGCGGCGCCGGAAGCGCCGCTGGGGGGCTCCAGCTCCGATCCGGCAAATCTGCGCGGACCTCCGAGTTTGTGTGTGTTTATGTCATTGCTTGTTTCCCTAAGAGAGGCATGCCCAACCTGAGACTGCAACAGCAATGAGTATTGTGCATCCGATCCCCATCCCCAGCGGTGTGGCCTGGGCCCCACTGGCCGACTTCCCCCCCTAAGGTGGGGATGTAGGCCGTTCCCTTCGGGCTTCGAGCGGCGCATCCCCAACTGGGGGGGTCATTTGGTGGGGGTCTCGAAGGGGACTGAGATGGGGATGGGGACGATACCGAACGTTCATCCCACGCGCACTGTTCGATTCCGTGCGTGTGTTTTCTTCGCAAGATGACCCGAGGACCTCCTCGGTGGTCCCGGCCGAGAAAAAAAAGCAGGCACCTCGTCCGAGTGATGCGAGGAGCAAGCCCAGATTGATGGGCCCGTGATCCACCACCACCACCACTACCACCACTTCCACTACCACGACCGATACTGAAGCAAGGCCGCGCCGGCTGCGGCGGCAGCGGTACGGGCGGCGCCGGCCGCCCGGAGGGCGGCGGCGGTGGGCCGGGGGAGGCGCCGCCGAGGCGGTGCGCAGGCCGCACCCGCCCACGAGGGTTGGAGCCCTCCCATAGGGAGATGATCGTGTTCACCCTCTTGGCGCGAAGCTTTCCTCCTCCTCCTCCTCCTCCTCCTCCTCCTCCTCCTCCTCCTTCCCCTCTTCCTCCCCCTCCTCCTCCTCCCCCTCCAACTCCTCCTCCTCCTCCTCCTCCTCCTCCTCCTCCTCCTCCTCCTCCTCCTCCTCCTCCTCCTCCGCCCCCTCCAACTCCTCCTCCTCCTCCTCCTTCATCTTCTCCTCTGCAGGGCGGGCTCCGCAGTAGTACCGACGCTCTCCTACTACTGGAGGTCTCCTAGATGGGGTCAGAGTAGATAGGGTCGGAAGATTGCGCCGCATCGCCAATGCATCGCCGAAGTATCGGCGACGCATCGGTAATACATCGGCGACGTCGGCGATGCATCGGCGATGTCGGCGTGGGGAATCACGGGCTCCACATGAAGCCGCATCGTCGATGCACCGGCGATGCGGCGCGATCCTCCGAACCAGTCTACTCGGACCCCATCTAGGAGGCCTAGACACATGGAGATTGTTATCTTTACCCTCTGGCGCGTAACAGTTGCTACTTACCCGTCCAAACCCCGGCTTTGAAGCTTCTTGGGGTCCTTCTGGAGTTTCTTGGGGCCTCTTTCGTGCCTCTTGGGGTCTTGGGGGGCCTCTTGGGCGTCGGAGCCTCGTTGGGCCTCATGGGAGCCTGGGGGGGCGAAAGGCTGAAATTGTGGGTTAGTGTTCTCCCTCTTGGGGCCCTCTTGGGCCGTCTTGGGGGGCCTCCTGGGCCGTCCTGGAGCCCTCTCGAATCATCTTGGGGCTCCCAAGAAATCTCTGACGCCGTCTTGGTGTTTTCTTGGTCCCCTCGTGGGCCGACTCGGCGCGGTCTTGAGCGCCTCTTCGTCTAGGAGCGTTGGAAGCCCGAAGCAGTAAGAACCCCCTAAATCCTTCAAAAGCCAACGGAACATCGATAATTTGGGCCTCTTGGGGCACTCGTCGGGGTCTTCTTCTTAATCCGTTCGAAAAGCTTCTTGGGCCGTCTGAAACGCCTTGAGGCCGTCGTCGGGGCGGCTCGGGGCCGTCTTGGCTGTCTGATCGCCATGGGGGCTGATTTTTCGCTCCCCAACAGCAGGCCCGGCCCCGAAACGCCCCGAAAAGGGTGGGCTCCCCCGGGACTGAAAAAGGTACCCGGGGGAGGGGCGCAATTTTGAAAAAATGTGCCGCCCCCGTGGCCGGGGGCCCGCTTCCCCGTTATATGATCGATGCGCCGTTTGGCCAGCATTCAATGACATACGCGCTTACCCCAGCATCCCATAACATTTTTTTTGTAATCTGCGTTTCGTTTTCAACCCGAATGTGATAAGCCATCGGGGCGTCCCGAACCCCCTAGGATATGGTGCGCCACCGTTCGAAACGCTGTTTGGAGGGGGGGGGGGGGGAACCCGGCTCCGCGGGAACAGACGCGGGGGCCGAGCGACTCGAATGCGGCATCGGGCGCGGAGGTGACTCGTTCGGTTCCCCCCTCCCAAAAGGCCCGGGGGGCCCTCCACGCCCCAGACGGCATGCAACGCCTCCATTGGAAGCGCCACCCTCCGCGCGCCCGCGGGGAAGGAGGCGGGGGCCGCACGACTCGGCGGAGGCAGCGGATGCTAAGATGACTCGAGTGGTTGCGTTGCTTCTCCTCGGATGTTCTTTTGGGGAACCAGACGGTGCCACCACCGCTGCTCCCTGGACCTCTGCCGGGGTGCGTTCTGACCCGACTTTCGAGGCGGATCCAGCGGTGGCGACGAGAGCCTCCGAGGAGGCCCAAAAAGAAGAAAACGGGCGAGGGGTAGAGGGATGGGTACCTTTTTCCTCCCGTGATCCTCGAGGGTTGGGGGGCTCCCCGGACCCCAGGGGCACGAAACGCTTCCGCCGGAGGCGTCGACCTCGGGGGCTCGGAGAGAACCGCGCTCGCACGAAACGAGGCAAGGGCCGAATCGAATCGGCGGCGGCAGCGGAAGGCAAAGTGACCCCGGCCGTCCCCCTTTCCCGCCCCACGGGTCCGGTGGCTCCCCAGGCTTGAAGAATCAGAGAGCTCCTACAGTCAGCCCGTCTCATAAGGATGCGCGGTAACGGCCACGTTGGCGTTTCCCGAGCGAGGCCAGCCAACGAGAGAGACCAAGGATGGGCCGGAGGGGCAAGGGTTAAGTCGGGCCTGTCCCCCTACAGGAGGGTTTTCGACGAAAAATACAAAACAAATAGCCTGGCGCAGGACCCAACCATACGCAGTTGTGAATACCGCAATTGTGAATCTATTATTCGGTGGCGCTCCCTATGGGGTCACGAGCCGTATGAGGTGTGTGTGTGTGTGTGTGTGTGCCGGATTCTGTGATAGGGTCACAACACGAATGATAACGATAGGTCTGAGTATGAAAGCTTGAGCGCGGGCGAGTCTAAGCGCGAGTGAGTCTGACTCTGAAGGAATATGCGTGCGATGGATTCTATTTGTATGACTGCGAGCATGGAGCCGCCTAATGTAAATGCATACGACTGTGAATGGTTTGGGTATGCCTGACTCTGAGAACTCGTGACACTGAGCGTAGCCTCCGCGAGGAGTTTTCCTGGGAACCCCGACGGCAGCCTCCGCGCGCCGCGACGCCCATGTCGGCACGCCCCACACGAGGATCGCGCCCGTGTCCTCCTTTTCTTTTCCTACCTCTTTGCCCGCGCACTCCATATTCAAGGCTGCGGGCGCCGCGCTAAGTGGAGCCCCCGCGACGCGCGCAGGTCGGACGTCGACGACGGAAGACGACGACGACGACGACGACGAAGAAATCTGCCCTAGGGAACCTGTCGGGACCACCAGCTCCCTATGGGGCCATGAAACGTGTGAGGGGTGTGCCGGATTGGGTGCGCGGGACGCATGCGGCCAGCGGCACTGGGGCCTTCGGTGCAGCTCCCTATGGGGCCACGAAGCGTGTGAGGTGTGTGCCAGGTTGGGTGTGCGGGACGCATGCGGCAGGCGGCACTGGGGCCTGCGGTGGCCAAATTGGGCATGCGGGGCGCATGCGGGCGGCGTTACCGGGGCCTTCGGTGGAGCTCCCGATGGGGCCACGAAACGTGTGAGGGGTGTGCGGACATGGGTGTGCGGGACGCATGCGGACGGAAGCACTGGGGCCTTCTGTGGAGCTCCCTATGGGGCCACGAAACGTGTGAGGGGTGTGCGGACATGGGTGTGCGGGACGCATGCGGCTGGCGGCACTGGGGCCTTCGGCGCAGCTCCGCATAGGGCCACGAAGCGCGTGAGGGGTGTGCCGGCATGGGTGTGCGGGACGCATGCGGGCGGCGGCACTGGGGCCCTCGGTGGAGCCTCTTATGGGGCCACGAAACGTGTGAGGGGTGTGCCGAATTGGGTATGCGGGGCGCATGCGGGCGGAAGCACTGGGGCCTTCGGTGGAGCTCCCTATGGGGCCACGAAACGTGTGAGGGGTGTGCCGACATGGGTGTGCGAGACCCATGCGGCCGGCAGTACTGGGGCCCTCGGTGGAGCTCCCTATGTGGCCACGAAACGTGTGATGGGTGTGCCGACATGGGTGTGCGGGGCGCATGCGGCCGGCGGCGCTGGTGCCTTCGGTGGAGCCCCTTTATGGGGCCACGAAACGTGTGAGGGGTGTGCCGAATTGGGTGTGCGGGGCGCATGCGGGCGGCAGCACTAGGGCCTTCGGTGGAGCTCCCTATGGGGCCATGAAACG